TAAAATTATGTAGGAATTTAGATGAGGTATTTAAATAAATACCCCACCATAAATCAATACAAAAGACTTCATGAGGGGAAAAAAATCCATCTTATACACGGCTGGGGGAATAATGAGCAGAATGATAAATAATTTGTAACTTTATTATGAGTTTGAGGTATTTGGCCATGACGAGTTATTTTTGGAATAAATCTGCAATGAACAGATTACCACAAGATTTTTATTCCTATTAATCATTTTCACTTGTGTATGATAAATATCTGCACATTGTGTTTATGAATTAATGACGAAATTGTTAAATCGAGAAATATGATGGATGGATGGATGGATGGATGGATGGATGGATGGATGGATGGATGGATGGATGGATGGATGGATGGATGGATGGATGGGTCTGCTTTGTTTGTGAATTTGTGATTATGGACGCTCTATGAACCAAATATTTTAGCATACTGTACATGAAAAGCAAACTATTGAGCTTGTAGAAATAGATTACAAGACATTGACAAAGATTACAATACAGTCAACTAAGGATCTGAGTCGATCCTTTTGGCAGAGTCCTCTAAGCAGTTATAAGATGTTATATTAAAGTTTTGTGACAGTATTACATACCTACATTTTCAAACGAATGTTTCATGCAGGCGATCCTGTGCCCCATAATAAAGGGAACAATTTAAAGTACATTTAAGCCGCGGTGGGAAATATTCCTTTATCGTTGACACCAACCTTTTTTCTTTTCCCTAATCGAAAAAGAACAAAGTAAATTAGGAATAAATGAGAAGGTCAAATCTCTTTTTTCTTTCAGAGACTCAGTGAAGCTTTTGCATTTTTATCACAATTAGTTTCACTGCTTTGATTTATCCTTCTGGTTTGCCTCAGGAATCTCAGACATACTGCAGCTTGCACGAGGGTGTAAAAGAAAGTACTCACATCCTGCTGCTCTTAAGCCCCTACTGTTCTTTGGTTGAAGTCTTGATTTTAAGACGAATAGATAAAATAGGTTAAAATCAGTATGAGGCTGTTTTGTCTGTATGATGACAAATGTTTAGTTGTTTGCGGTTTGGTCCCGAGCACTGTGATTCCCACATAGCCAAAGATTAAATGTGTCCCAAAGACAAAACTGTGCTGCATTCAGGTACTTGTTCACCTGCAGCTACAGCTTTGTTTGCGTTGGAGGTCAAAACAACAACTTTGTTATCCTTTCAAACATCAAAACACTTGTTTTCTCCAACCTTCCTCCTTCCTTTCATTGCAGCAATTTATATTCTTGCTATAATGCCTGTGTGGGATTTTCTCTGAGCCTTTTGTCACAACTGTGACACCTACAATGCAGTTAGGAATTAATTTGAATGGTGTGACCTAATGGACTTCAATTTTTAAAATGTTTGCCTGCAAGAAGGACTCAAATGTGCAATGTATAATGTGCAATCACTATTTAATACCCTGTGCAATAACCTTTTTCTTTATATTTGACACCTGTTGCAATAGCTATATAGATATCCACCTATAACCTGTGCAATAACCCTGTATAATAACCCTGCTATAAAAAAAACATTTAAAAAAAAGCTGTCATATTTGGACGCACTGTATATACTGTATATATTCCATGAGGGAACCTGATGACTGTACAGTATATATGGAAACTTGTATTATACTGATAAATCCAAATTATGTATACCCCATGGAGATTAGGTTTAAACAATGTTTTTGTTTTTTCCAACATGTTTCTTGTGATTGGGAGCAATACCATTTATCAGGAGTGGACTAGACAGAGTCCAACTGATTGTTCAGCAGTTCTAACAATTTGTGAATTCTGGTATATTGTTTGATTTTCTTTTAGTTTAAGTAGGGTACAAATAACAGAGTTTCTTTCTGGATTGGATTAAATGCAAAGCTGATACTCCTTTAAGACGAAGGCAAAGGGTTCACATTTTCAGAGCAGTTTTCTCATATATATATATATATATATATGCAAATAAGGAGGTAAATATGTAAAAAAAAAAAAGAAAAAAAAAGGAGTTAGAAGTTCTTGTATTAGCATACTTTCAGTGTAATATACGTGTATCCTAGCCAGTTTTTGTGCTAAAATGTCTGGGCCCCAGGTTACGTAGCCCAGATGTCAGTCCAAGGCTTAAAATGACAAAAATCAGCATGGTTTCAGCGTAGCAGAGACAAATTAAGCATGTTGTGTGATTTACTTTACTAAATCATGTGGCATCAAAATAGGCAGGTTAGATTATTGAAATTTGAAGCTGTTTTTAAAATCTTCATATTTTTTTGATTACTTGTGTTGGTGCACAAAAGTGCATACATGTGTTTAGGCATGTTTGTGTCTGCCTGTATGTGCCTGTGTGTAGACTAGGTTTCTGTGTAGTTTAAGTAAGTGAGTGCAATTTTGTCATTTTGTGATTTGCTAAATTGTCTAAAGGGTGAGAAGGAGATCTACCTTACAGATACCTGAGAGCAGAGAGGGACAGATAGCCTCTACTCCTGTGGGCCACAGCGGCTCTGTGCAGACAAACACCAGGGACTCCCACAGAGTACCCATAGCCCCAACACAAAGGAAGTCTGGCAGCAAAGCACTAAAGCAATTTGGAAAATAAAAATGCTGGAGAGATAATAACAATAACAATATTAAGAAGAATATTAAAAGAAGACGTCTTCTAGACATCAACATTTTCTATGAAGTAGGAGCAGAGTAATGTGTTCATACCATCATGTGTTCATCCATCTCTGGTTCAAGAAGGTCTCTTTAGTTTCAGAGAATTCTGCAAATAAATTGCCATCTTATTGCGGTCAAACTTTTAAAATCTCTAAGCAAAGTCTTCGAAGCTTGAATCTTTATTGATACCATACTTCAAAAAATTATAACCCACCACGGAAAATAAAGGCTTTTCCTCTCAACTCTTCTCAATAGAAAAATATGTGCAGTGTTAACATAGCAGTGAACCTCTAGATACTTTAACTGCTCCCTATCTGTATCTGCAAGTTTTGTCAATTTTAAAATGACAAAAATCCATTATTTTCACATTGCATTTTTCTACAGTAGTATTAACTCATCTTTGCTCCAAGTACATTTATTTTGAAATGCAGCACCAACCGTGCCGATTTCGATCTGAAAGCACCAGCACAGCGTTCCCTTTAGCCTCCTACGGTGAGCTCAGTGAATGCAACTTCAGCTTTGAAAACCACAAAAGGGGTTCAAGCAAATTGGGTTCCATTCTAGACTAGAAAATATGCCAGACTCCACAGTTAGAGTACTCCAGATTTAGATCATTGTTAATTTATTTAAAATTGTTGGTTTTACAAGTGGATGTTTACTACCTGCATCAGAAAACACTTTTGCATTAAAATTACCCTTATTTTCAATAAAATAAATATATTATGTTTTGAAAATAAGATATGTTTTCCAGGCTTTTATTAACACTAGCAGGACAAATGAGAACTTCATAACCTCCCTATGTTGTAAGTGAGGACGCTGAGATAAGATATCATGTATTTTATTATGTAGTGATGTTTGCAAAAGCATTTTATATTTTCACTTTTGAGTCAGATGTAGAGATGGAGCCAGGTGACTTTAACATAATGCTAAACTTTTGTTCGTTTTTTTTTTTGCATGTACATGCTTTTATTTCTTGTTGCACTTGTTGTATTTTAGCTGATACTGTAATAAATAACATCCATTAGCTGGACGTACAAATGAAATTCTATTTTTTTTTTTACTTCTATACACAACAGGAAATAGAAAGTCTTGATAGCAGATGTGTATCAGCTTGTTCTGTTTTCTTATTTTTTTTATTACAGCTTGTCTTTTTAAAGCAGGGCAACCGGTGAAAATGTGAGAGATAAGCAAACACAACTAAGTCAGTGCATCTGTGGGTAAAAGAACAAATGCTCCAAAACCTGTTGATATTTTAGAGATTAAAAGGTAAACACAAAGAACCTTTCTTTGTGGAATATCAGCTGATAAAATCTGATCCAGTGATACAGAATTCACAAAGGATTTGTTGTGCACAAGGTGATACAAGGGGAATCAAGCATCTGAAGCTGATGAAAAAAGTCCACTTACTGAGTCTAGATTCCTGAAGGCTGTCTAAATATGAAATCACTTGAATAATAAATTGAGCCTTTGAAATGCTATTGTCCCTTCAGTGTGACTTTGGAGCAGTGTAAAGGTCCACATCCATTTTTTCTTGTGGGAAAAGAAAAACTGGATCCTTGATTAGAGGCTAAAACATGGTACCAGATGAAGTAGCAGGTCACTACTGCTAAAGCCACCTTATCTGTCACAATCTAGCTAAGATACTGTGACTCACAGACATGTTATGCTGTAGTATCTTGGGGATCTGTTATGAAAACTTTTTTTTATTGGATTTATGCCTTTGGGGTAGGAAAAGCAGAAGTTGCAGTAAAATATGAGCGTTGTCATAATCAGCTAAATTATTCCATTGTTAACAGATTTATTTACCCCTACAAAATGATTTCATGCCATTTAACAGAAATTAGAACTTGGTCTGTTTCACTTATTACCCTATTTCATTGTTACTTCTTCTGCAATTTCTTTGGATTCTGACTTGACAGGTTAAACCATAATGGGTCAATTACAGAGGTTCAATTACCTTCCATGACACGTTTCATTGCCAGCAGTCTCGACCAGATGAAACATTGAACACACCGGATGAAAAGAAAACTCTATAGTCAGACTTTAATGTAAAATACATTGAAGACACGACCATTTTAGCAACTAAGTCATTAGAAAGTTTCCATTCTTTGGGATTCAGTTGAATTGGCCTAGAATGATCCTTTACCTAACTCTTGGCATTCATGCTAGCCCTGCCGGTACCACCAACTGTGATTTGGTCTTAATTAACTTTCTTTTGTCTGCCTATTGCTTAGTTTGAGTTCCTGCATGCATTGAAGTACATCTTGTGCTTGAAGCATTTTTCTTGTTGTCAGGAATGCAACTTTATTTCTGTTTTTCTTTTCTGTGCCCCACCCAGAGTCAGGCCATGCGAATCGTCCGGACCGTCGGCCAGGCATTCGAGGTTTGTCATAAACTGAGTCTGCAACATACACAGCAAAATGCAGACGAAAAGGCGGACTGCAACGGGGAAAAGAGTGGCAGCAATTCATCTGGTACACACACACATACACCCACACACACACACACAGACATACACCCACAACACATCCACAAATTCACAGATCCTTATGGATCTCTTTTATAGCAAGATACACTTTTCTTTTTTTTTTGTAAAGTTGATCAATATTTAAAAATACTGCTTTCACTTTTTTATGGCCTGTATGGAAAGCAATCTTACTGCTTGCCTGCATAGTGCTTATAAAATAATGAAGTCATATTGAACAAAAGAGCTATAGAGTTCAGGGTCAATGTTGGCAGAGTGCTGAATTTTAATCAAAGTTGTTGAAAGGCTTACATGTGTTTACAGAAGCACCTTGAAGTAAAGTCATGTTAAGAATTAGAAACATGTCATGTTTCTTGGGTTTGTCTCACAAAAATTATAACATGCTGTTGTCTTTTAAAATCTGGTTAAGGTTAAATGATTAAAGAGTAATATCTCTATACTATAACTAAAATATGTAGGTCATATCTACAGCAGTATTTAGAGCATTCTGTTGTTACTTTTTAACCTTGAGGAGGAGACGAGCTGTCTGAGGTCATCAGATCGGTTGTAATATGACCTGGTCAGAAGCTCTGGCACCAGCTAGTCTGTTTATCCATATCATTCATCACTCGCTGATAAAGGTCTGACCCAGAGTGGTCTACTTCAGTATAAAGCGCTTCTGTTTCTATCATGTCTTCTTCTCTTCACCAAAGGCCCGACATTATTATAAATGCTCCCTTTAAAAATAACAAAAGGGATTTTCTTCAGAGGAATTCTCCTATTGTATTCCCTACTGTATTCCCCTTGGATCATTGGATCCTCTCTGTGTTCCAGTTAGAACCTGGAAATCTAGAGGAAAATAAAAACAAGCAGAAGCTGTTTCCTAGAGTGTGCTGAGCAGAATTTCTTCACTTGGTATAACTAATGACATTTGTATTCACATAGAGGTTTTTGGTGATTTTTAGGCTTTGTTTGTCCCCAAAAATACCACACGGAGAATAAAAATTGATATATTTCTATGATGTTTTTGCCATAGTGTTAATATGGATCTGAAATTAAGAGTTTAGTCAATTTCCGTCTGTGTCAGCTATTATGGTGTCTCCTAAACTGTTTTAAAAGGATTATAAAAGTTTCAGCTATGTTGGTAGTGTAAAATAATGTTGCCAGTGTGATGCAGAGTCCATAGTCCAGTTTAGTGTTCAACAGTTTGTAAAACTCTGTTCCTCTTTTAAAGATAAATGTCTGGATTCTGACAAAACAGATGTGATAGCAGCAGTTATGCATATGTCCTCTTTCGCTGCCTTATTTATTTTGGTTCGGCTGTGGGCTTGGCATATCTTGCTTTTGTTAGGCTATATGTCGCGCCTTAAACCATAATACTGCAACATGAATTACCAAACTCTTTTGGGCTGGTCTTGAAGGATTTAAGCTGGAGAGGTACAAAAATGTATTATTGTGTGTTGGTTATACTGCAGAAATTCAGCTTGCAGGCAGGGTTACCCTAGGAAGACATTGAGGTAAGGGTATCCCTTTTGAAGAATATAGAAATATTGTGATCTGTTCCAAAACATGCCCTTCAAGAAGCCCAGAAAATGTAAATACTCTCTACAAGGCAGTACATTTATAAAATTCAGTGTTAATATAGTGTATCAAAGTTTTACTAACAGATTCTGTTTAAAATAGTGATACTTAACACCATGTTGTTGTACTCATGTTCCTGGACTTCTTTCACTACCTAACCGTCTTCAGCTGACATTAAAAAAAAAAAAACTGTATCCTCGATGAGATCCAGAGTTCTCTAAACCTGCACCACAATAAATCTTATGTCTTTAAGTACATAGAAATCTGTGAAGATGAATCCTGAAGACCATGTTAATCTGTTTTGCATTTTTGAAAGGTAGTTGATTGTTTGGATAGGAGGGTTCATAAATCTTTTGGATATTTAAATGGAAGTCGGAGTCACTCAAAATATCTAAACCTGTTTTTATTGACTGTCATCTGATTCAGATATTAAAATGTTAGTGATGTAGCTAATATTACATGAAACATGAGCCCAATGTGTCATTTTAGCCTTTTAGAAAATAGGTCATTATCTGGTCACAGAATCCTTTAGGCACTGCCAGAGGGGTACCTAATCCTGACATGGTGAGGAAGGTGATACTTAATCAATTTTCCAAATGATTTTTGTCAAAGAGATCATTTACAGCAAAATAATCTGCCTGGGCTGACTTCCTCTTATCCACTGCTTAGTTTCTGGGCAGGTTGGGTTTTTCCCGTCGCCCTGCGGCCTACGGCTCAACGTGAGCTCTGAGAGAACGGACATGGAGATTTAGCAGAAGAAAAGTCCACAAACTCTGCTCTTTAACCACAGTCATTCCAGTTATTACAGAGCAGAGCACCAAAGTGTTATCTTCAGAACCCCAAACCAGCCAGAGGCAGACTCACATTTCACATGCTGATGAGCCCAGATCACCCACGCTCTTTGATTGTACAGCCACACAGATGTAAGAAGACCCCACATACATTCAGAACGAACCCTGCTACATACACTCACATTCGCCTACTCAGTGTATGAAATAACACAAGAACTACCGTGCAGAGCCAATGAGCTTATCTGGATGGCGGATTAGAGAATTAAAAAGGGGGAAGGAGCCGAAAAAGAAGAAAATGCATTTTCCAAGGAACCAGCTGAACAAAATGCGATGAAATGTAAAGTTGATTAAAGAAGAGGAGAGGGAATGGAAAACTGGGTTAAGCAGTGGGGAGATGAGAAGAAAGTAGATTCAATTTCATTTTCAGAGGACTTTTTTTTTTCCCAGAAGTAAAACAATACTAGAGACAGAGTCAGTCTAAGACTAAACAATGCAATCTTGGTAAAGTTTTTAATAAAGTACAACACAAGAAATGCTTAATTTTTTCATTAGTATTAATACACATTCATCAAACTGATATAACTGTTTATACAATACTTGACATTTTAATTGTTTCTTTTATTGAACCACATTTTTAACCGAAGTCTTGAGACTCAATAATGAGAAAGAATACAGAAAATATCCATGTTAGAATCAGGAAAAATTATTTTTCACCACTTGATTAGTTGTCAGCGAAAAATAAATGTGCAGTTTTAGCTTTTTATTACTGAATAGTCCATTTTGGTCTTTTTCTCAAATGTATTGACTGTTCTTCAATGCTTTATTGCATTGGTGCTAAATCCAGGTCTTAAGTGCTTGTGTAAAAGAACAGGCTGGGTATTCCCTGGCCAGATCCAGCTCTGTGCCATGACATGGTTCTTGTTCTTAGACCTTAATTTTAGTTTAGGCTACAGCTGCTGGGAAACCCTCCAGGCCTCAAACCTCCAGCTACATTTCTCTAGATATAGAAAAGAAAAGTCCTTACGTTGTATACTCGTCGTTTTAGCGTTAAAAACATCAGTTTTCTATTAAATTTGATGGAAAACGGTTTAGCAAAGAGTTAGATAATTATGAGGAAAAGGCACAGACCTGACTTTTTTATTTATTTTGTCAGTTTATTTAGTGGCAATTAACCAGTGTCTGAAATTACTTTGCAGGACGAATAAATCTGATTTATGTAGAAATATATTGTGAGTTTGGTCAAATGACATTAAAATATTTGATTTCAAATTCAAAGATTTTAGTTTGATTGTAGTTATAAAACAATGCAGTGCATCAAGTAGTTATTGGTTAAAGATATATACCGTAGTCCAACTAACTGGGCTGATTGCATAGATTTACTCACTTTGCACTAATCCATCATGGAAATTCATGTTGGGGCAATTCATAGTTGTTTGCATCGAGCATTTAATGCAACAATCCCTCCTGAAGATGTAGCTTTAAGCATAGAAACTGATTCCAAAGGTGGCCTGCATGTCTGTATTGATTCAAACAATCTTCATACAGACAGATCAACAAGCAAAGTTGTAAAAGTCAAAATAAAAATAGAAAAAAAATGCAGTAACATTTTTTATCCACTTAAAATGCAAAACGTAACGCAGACTTTTCAACCGTCACTATAGGTCGACATTTATTCATATCTGCAAACATGTGTCCTAGAATTCACTAAAGCTCATTAAGACTTCATATGGTTTTAATGAGCCATATGTAAAATAAACAACAGGAAGACAAGTAAATCAATTGATTGATTGATTTATAAATGTGGAGTTTTAAATCTGGTAAAACAATGTGTTTGGTTACATTTCTGATGAACAAATATAATGAACAGTTACCAATGCTTTAGGCATGTTGGCAAGAAACCTACAAGGACACCCAGCAATCAGTAGATGTTTAGAAAAAAAATATGGAAATGCTGCACATATGCAATGTTTGTTGTGACAGCCACAACCTAGAAATTTTAGAGCTACTTATGTTCATTGATAGATGATATTGATAACAGATCTTATACATAGAAACCCTCTAAATTATGGCCAAAGCTTATTACAATATGTTCCTTAATTTCAGTCACTTATTATAATTCCAGTTTCGATATGAATTATTTAAGAAACTCTCTGAAAATCTGCCAAGAAAGCCCCGAGGGGGGGGGGGGACAATTGAAGTATTTCATCATTTTAATTGCAATTATTGTTTAAAAAAAATAAATCCAAACCATTTCTAATTTGAGCTCTAAGTTGAACAAAATACACATTTAAGCAGGTAGTTCTCTCCCTCCTCATATTTCTCCGTCCACTGGTTATTGCATTTTTTACAGTTTCTCTTTTATTGCCTCCTTTTTTATTCTTTAATGTACCGGTATACAAGAAGACAAGCACACATTTCTATAATAACAAGTCTATATAATAAAATAGAAAAAACAACTCATAACTAACTAAGAAAATGCAAGATAAAGACCAGCAGGCAGTTCTTAAACTTTAAGTAGTTAAACCGCTGTTATGCTGTTGGTAGCTTTTAAAAGGAGTTTTTTTTATTTACCTATTTTTTTTATCCTCCTGTTAAGATCTCTGCCCTCCTTTCTCTCTCTCTCTCTGCTACCCTGGCACAGCGAATGTTGACAACACTAGTAATGCATCCTGACGTGACAGCAAAGATCAGCTCAATCAAAACTAAATAAATCACTTTACACAACCCATAATATCACAGGATGGCTCACTTTCTGCTTTCTATTCTATGCCAGCTGTTATTTACATGCTGCAAGCTTCACTCAGCTCTTGAAGAAGCACATTGATATGTTGCTTATAAGCATCACGCCTTCTACACAGTCTACCCCCACTCTTTTTCTAGTTCATCAAGCTCTGAATTTAAAGACGTTTGCTAGGTAGAAGTGGTCCAAAATGGGACATTTAGAAACCTTATAATGGGTGCTCATTTTGTAGCTAAAACTTAGCACACTGGGACTTGGCCTACAGCTGAACGCAGCCTGGCTGCAGCCACAGGCCTCCTTGTCTATGGTGCACAGTAGGTCACTAATGTTGCCAATGTGTTGCCCCTCTTTCTGAATCAGCTGCACCAAGAAGGTCAGTTAGTGACAAATACTAACAGGATGTAATGCATATCAATCAAAATATCAGAAATGTGTTTAAAAATTGTATCAGTTACTGTAAAAAAAAGATTTGTTACAATATATTGTCATATATTGATATTGTCCAGCCCTACTTTAAACTAGACATTGCACTGAAATCTGTATCTGTTAACAAGGTTTGGGGGTTTTTAACTTTTTAAACTTTTTTAACTCCCCCTTTTTAACTTCAAGCTCCTTTATCCTCCTTTTTAGTTGCATAAAAAACATTTAACTTAAATGATTTATTGTATTTGCACAAAAATGAGTATGAGAGACAAATATGAACCTTGTATTAGCGCCTTATACTGTAGTAATAGTTCATAAAATATCAGCAAAAACATATTATCAGTCAGCGAGTTAGCTTTACATAAAAATCTGAAGAAAACCTAGGGTCAATGTGTCAGAGTCAGAGAAGAGAAGGCAACTCTGATAGCGGACTAGAGGTGAGGGTTCAGGAAATGGGAAAAAGACGAGTGTAGCTGGGAGCAGGTTATCAAGAGGATTTTGTGGGAAGTCTGAAGCTCCTTGTCAAATTGTTGGAAATTAGGTTTAAGTAGAGGGGATGACTAGAGCTGTTCTTAAAAGGAAGTAGAGGATCAGTGGGAGAGGAGATGGGAGAAAATGGTGGGAGTTTTTACTGCTGGGGATAGAAATAAAGGAGGATGAGTGAGCTAAATTCATACCCTGTTAGTGTTTCAGCTAATCAAAAAAGCTATTTTGAACTCTTTTTTTGTTTTATTGTTCAGCTGGATTTTTGAAAAACAGGAATTTCAGAAAGAAATATAGTGTTCTTTTTCTTTTTTTCATCTTGTCTAAGAGTTCATATTGTAATTTGAGCTGGTTATCTTTTCTTCATTTTTACAAAATCTTTGATGAAATTAGCAGAATGGTAAATAAAATGTCTGTAATTGTTGAACAATCTACAGAGGTGATGGTTTTATAAGATGTAACTTTAAAAGTAAAAAAAACATGCAACAGTTCCGATTTTGATTTTAAGCCAACATTGAACTAAACAAACTCAGAACAGATGATCTTGTACAATGAAAACCTACAAACAACCCCGAGTCACTGTAATAGGTCTGGGAATGGAAAAAATCTGGTTATTAAGGGAGGTCAAACTTTCCTGGTCAGGGTCATCAAACTCCACTTTGATATGTTAAGAGCTGACATCTTGCAGGTAGAAGATATCAGATTTTATTATTTTTTGTTCTAGCAACTGCTGAGGAAGGGTTCTGCAGATAGATGTCATTGAAAAAGTTGCTTTTAAAGAATTATATTTCTGTTGTGGATAAATACATGGCAACCTCTGAGATAATCTGGTAAAAACAAAACAACAACACTTAAAACATTTGTTTTAATTAACATGCTTACAACCCCATACATCTTTAATAACATTTTTCTAAATATAAATTGGCACTCTATCATTTTAGTCAAATAAAAGATGCTTTTGTGTAAACACTAATAATGTTTCTCACTGGTATTTATGTGTGTCTACCCATGCGTGCTTGTGTGTACACATAATCATGCCTTCATGTATGTATGCAGGCGTGCGTGCTCATCCACCTGTATGTGTGTGTACTTTATTCGGCCCAGCCCGGGAGTTAACAGGCCCAGAAAAGAAGCCAGCGATCGTTGCTGAGGAGACGGACATTGACGCTGAAGATGTGGTGCAGGTGCAGACGGGCGAGGACTTAAACCTTAACAGAGGAGTGACCGATCTTGACGCAACTGCGAAGACAACAGACCTAAATGAATCTGAAAATAAGGTAAGTAGCACCTAAAAAATGTAAAATGATATGAAAGACTGTGTGCTTTGGGGTAAACACACTGTATGCATTGGGGGCCGCATTTTCTATAAAATGGAAATAAAAGATAGATTTTGGGTCGTTCTTCTTTTTTTCTTATTTTAACAAGACCGGTAGGGAATTAAATTTGATTACATTTCCAATAGTTTAGATTAACTGCTCTGGAAGCAAACTCTAGTGACCAATGGTTATCATTTGATTTTAAAATCCTTGACTCTTTTTTGATTATCTGATTTTTTTTTTTTTCTTTTCTGGCTTTTTCTTTCTGTCAGATCACACATCTTAAATAATCAGTTATAAAATTCTTGGATTTCAAGTCCAGTAAATGAGCTGCAGCCTTTACAACAATAACCCTAACAGGTGACGATGCATCTGGAGCTAGACTCTGTTAGCAGCATTGTACTGAAATCATTGTTCAATCATGTCAGGTCAGGCTGACTCTAAACTTTAAAGCTCATAACCAGTCTTCACATTTATTTATTTTTTATTTTTTATATGACCTGTTATAGGAAAATTTCTACTGTCACTTTGACAGATGTGAGACTGAAAACTTGATAGGAACATGTTACTTTAGAAGGCTGCTGTAAGAAACAGCATCCCAGATTGTTGCACACTAGTGGAAATGATCCTTAGTGCAATCAGTCATATAAAGTGAACTAATGGGGCAGAGGCAATTTCCTGAGTAAGAAATTGAAGATGGATTTTGTAAGTCACCTTTTTACTTAGTGCTAGGCTTTTTAAAGTCTTTGTTCATGGTGCAGTGTTTCCACTGTTGTTACGTTGAACTCACCCCCGAGCAAGTTAATATTGCATCCCTTTTAAACTTCTAATCATACCATAAATCACAATAGCTGCTATTTAAAGGTTACCTTTCATGTATAAAATGGCTCTACACATTATGCTTTTATTAAACAAATGGAATTATTTGTTTTTTAACATTACAGCATTGTCATTTCTGCTTCTTCATCTTGTCCTCTTTGAATTACTCCCGGCCAAATGCTGACCCAACACACATACATTTGTAACACAGGAGCAAGAACAAGTGAATACACAACCATACTGGTAGGCACACTTCACAAGATGTCGCAACATCTTGCAATAAAAGATTACATTTTTTTTTTCTTTCATACTCCCCCAGATTTGTGAGGATAACATACAGTAGGAACCATAACCCACCTACAACTATAGGAAATAGCCTAAAGACTGTTTTGTTGCCCCTTACAACATGGTTGGTAGTTGGTAGTTATTGAATTTGGGTTGACAAAGGTTATGCAGCAAAATTTACAACTTTAATTATTAGAAAATAAATTCAGTTCTGAAGTCTGAAGTTACTGCAGGTTTCTTCTGATATTCATAGATCTAGAATTATACATCTGTGCTGGAACATTCTTCCCTGCTAATGGTTGGTTATATTGTCAAAGACAACCTTTTAAACTTATTTTAAACAAAAACTGATGAAGAGGATGCAGTCTCTCTTCCTCGTCATTTCTCCTGCTTTTCATAATAAAACATCCCCATGCCATAATACCACATGATTAGCTTTAAAAGCCTCTTCTTGGAACCTAAAATACCATTTATTGTTTTGGTTGTTTCTCGTCTCACCCTAAGGCTTTTCTCCAGAACTCATACGCTCTGTCCATTCTTGGAGCTGTATATTTCAGCAGTGCTTGAAATTCTTTATTTCTGGCACAAAGGATCTGGCAAGTTTCCTAACCCACATACTAAATTCTTCTACTTAAACCACAAATTAGTTTTCCTTGAAATGCATCACCATTCAAACTAAATAAACAAGCTTTTTAAAAGGCTACAAACAAAATGATAATAACTGACATTAAGACACAGGAATATTTTTTATCAAACCTAAAACTTCAACCAGATTTGAATTATGTGGATAGTATCCCAGGATACTAACCTCTTGAAATAACTAGCTAGTTCTGAAATAAAAAGTAGTTCAGCAGAATCATAAAGTTGTTTATGGCAGAAAAAATACAGGTTTGAGGAAATGGGATATTAATTCAGAAATTAGAGGGGATGCATCTATACATTTAATCCTAAGTATGTAATTTTTGCTTTTTGACAATCCTCAATTTATTCCATAATCTGCAATTCAATGTGCTTGATTTAAAAAAAAAAGATCATTTTCATTTATATGGATTTTTCTAAGGCAGAATTTTTGCCTTGGAAAAGGATTTTTTTTAAAGAAAAAATCTATACCCCAATTTACATAATCTTTTTGTACCAATGATTAGTATTTTTAAAAGCAGATATACCATATGTTGCTTAAGAGTATTTGGTCTCACTAGGCATAGGCCAGTATGAATTCTGATGGTAAGACACATTTAGGCAAAAATATGATTCCAGCTCCATTTTTGAAATGTCTTAATTCAAAACAAAACAAAACAAAGGGTCGAGTTGCATTATAGTGAACCCTATGTTACATCCAACAAATTTTTAAAGTTTTAAAGTAGAATAATTTTTTACATTTCCCACAACACACCCATCAGTTGAATTATTAGCCTTAATCAGTTTCTGATGTAAGGGGAAAGGAACTCTATTCACAGATTCCTACATTGATTGGTGATAAGACATTTTGTGGCTGTAATAAACTACAGTGGATTCCTTTTTTAAACCATCTCTGTGTTTGCGTGTGGCAGGTCTGCAGAAATAGCTCTCACTTTTCAGCAGCTGTCTGCAGTGTGTTGGCATCTGAGCCAAGAAAAGTAATCCAGTGCATATGTTTGTGTTTGTGTGGCCTCATGGTGTAAGAGATTTGATACAGCTCCGTCAGACTGTCTGCTCTCAGGCCTTTGGGAACTCTTCACAAGCATATATTTAAAACTAGGGAAATATGTTAGACACTGTTGGGAGGTTTAAAAGCACAACTGTGTGGTTCAGCTGGCAGAGCAGCATAGTAACTTTGTTTACTCAGTTTGTTTACTACTGTAGTTTAGCAGAGGGGATTTGTGTTTTTGATTAAGGCTAGAGTGGGAGGACAGCAGTGTGTGTCGAATATGTTTCACTATTCTATGCTACTAAGGGCAGGTTCACACTGCTAGAGTTTATGCCAATTTCTGCTCAATATTCTACTTTGCTGGTACTTTTTTAACAGTAGAAGCGCAAACACTTGCCTGATTGTGTCACACCGTTGCGCACTGCACTCCCAATGATCAAAGGTAAACTAACGGAATTCCAAAGGGGCTTTTCTTTCTCTGACATGTACAACACACACACTGGCATGCAGACAAAAAGTCAATCAAAATAAGACCCGCTTGAAACAACCGTTTGATTTTACAATAAATTAAAACAGTGCAAGACCGAACTATTTCAGTAGCATTTGCCTCGTTATCCAAAATTACATCAGAGCTCAAATGAACTTATTTCAGCGTCTGTTTATTTTATTACTTGTGATGTTTACTCATTGATGGGTCCTTGCTATTAAGTTTGCTGCACAAAAAAAGAATGTTGTCAGTTCTGCATTAATTTGCTTCTCCTTTCATTGATCTCAATTAGGGCTCATTTTATCAGTTTAATCGTGATTAATCAATTATTGAAATAATCATCAACTGATTTAGTAATCGATTAAATGTTAAAATGAGTATAGAGACTCTAAAACATTCCTTTAGCTGGTGGAGTGACCCACTTAGAGCAGTAATTATACCAAGATTGTGAAAAAAATACATTAATATTTTGCATTTAAGATAAAAAAATCTTGCTTGTCTGTCAATATGCTCTATCCAGAACTCAAGTGGAATAGTTTTAGTTTCACCTGGTTAAATTTCACAAAGTCTTTTTTTAACATTTTGCTATTGATTATTAATCGATTAATAAAAATATAACCGACAGATTGATTTGCAAAATAATCGGTACTTGCTGACCTAATCTCAAGACTTGTAGATAAAGTCTGTTTAGCTAGCTGCACTTGATGCCAGGATAGCAAGAAGGTTACACACTATTGGTGCTAGGTTCAGGTACCTTTTGCATGATCTTTTTATCACACCAAAAACAAGCGTTCTTTGGTGTCTTCAGCTTGCATTAATAAAAAATAGCCATTATCTGGTCTTATATAAAAATTTGCCCAGTAAGAGATAGAGTTGATTAATAAGTTGATTAAATGATTAATAAGATATGAAAAATAATTTTCCTTCATCCAGTAAGTTTTTCTGCTACTTACCCACACATTTGTTATTTATGTATACCTATGCCTGTACCTCTAAAATAATACATTTTTTGTTTCTATATGTAGCTTAAAGTTGATACCCAACCTCAGTGTGGTGCGGGACTCTAATCTGATCACAGATCCTTCAGTAGTGAGATATCCAGTTTGACAGCTAGATGTTCTGAGTGAGCGGTGTGATGGACCTGTGTGTGGTTGAGAGAACACATACACCAAAACTCCTCTGTCCCTGAATTTTTTTTTCATTGTGTTTTGTGTGTCTTACATTTTGAAAACCACCTGACAATTTTTAAGTCTTGCTTTGTAAGGCCGCACTTTTGTGAAGCATTAGTTGTTTTTCTAAGGCAATAAAATGTATTGATGAAAATACCAAGATGCATAACAAAATTGTTATGCATGTAGAACAGTAATGGCATGCCTTGAATGCCCTAAAGTAGGTCTGTTGATGACATAAAAATGACTTCCCTTGACACACACATCTTGCAGAAATATTGGTAAAGGAAAAGGATAAACTACCTTGCTTAATGCATAAAGGTTCCCAAGGAGAACAATGCCCCTCTGACAGGTTGTAAAAGGACAAAACTGCCTTTTTCTCTTTTTACCAACATGTAATGAGACCCTCCTCCACCCTGAGAAAGGGCAGAAAGAGGTGAGCTAAACAAGCTGATCCCTCCGCCATCTACGCTAATGAACTGTGTGGAACTACGTGAGAAATTCAGGTCAAGTTTGTTCTAATGAATGGCAAACCAAACAGAACATAGTCAAGTGTGAAACACTGGACTGAGTC